CGAGTCATCAGGTTCCATTACTGGACAGATTTCTAAGAAATTGGGGCCCAATGAGGCTCTACCTCTTTGATTCTACCAGGCGTCCCAGATTTTATTTCGCAAATTTTTACTTGAAAGCCGAAATTTGCACGTCACATCAGGGAAAAATATACAGATATATTTCTGAGCATATATAATTACCTTATAACACGTGCCATTTCATCCCGTAATTCAGTTCCGACCATGCAGCTGGTTTTTAGCATGCTTGGCCGCCTTTCCAACATCAGCCACATGGATCAGTGTTCACGGCGCAGCAGTCTGATGCGACACCTTTTGGTTCAACGAGTCATCAGGTTCTATTACTGGACAGATTTCTAAGAAATTGGGGCTCGATGAGGCTCAACCTCTTTGATTCTACCAGGGTCCCCAGATTTTATTTCGCAAAATTTTCACTTGAAAGCCGAAATTCGCATGTCACATCGTGGTAAAATATGCAAATTTCGTAAATTCTCTATGTTTCGGAGCGTATGTAATTGCTCTATAACACGAGTCACTTTATCCTGTAATTCAGTTCCGACCACACAGCTGGTTTTCAGCATGCGAGGCCGTCCATTCAACATCAACCACACGGACCAGTGTTCAAAGTGACACGTTTTGGTCCCACGAATCATCAGGTACCATTACTGCACAGATTTCCAAGAAAAATTTTTATTGAAAACCAGAATCTCGCAGTCAGAAACTTACAAATTCTTGGACCATTTCCCAAACAGGATTCATCCCGCACTTCGCTGAAGTCCTGAAGCTCAAGAAATTTTGTATGTAAAGGTTCTACTTGAAAACCGGAAATCGCACTTAAAGGACTATAACTGACCTCCAAATAACAATCACAACGTCTTAACCTCAGCCAAGTTTCTATTCTTTCATATATACCAATGGTTCAGCCTTTAATATTTTCAGTATACCTCACTATCAGGTAACATCTACTCTTTAATTTGAGCTTATAATTCTAGTTAAACCGGATATGGTGGCATTTAATACTAAATACCCAAATCTTCAAAATTTATGGCCACAACCGCGTACTGTTGAGGTTCGTTTGTAGTGCTGGCAAAGAATGTATACGACCGGAATTCCTCTTCAGTTTCATGGCCATAATTTTTACTGAAAATTAGTTTCCTTTGCTTTATAGAGTTTCCAGTTAATTAGTCTTTACTAAGTGAAAATCCTACAAGGTTAGGAAAGTGAACAAAACCATAAAGAAATGCTTCACCATTCTTTTTACCAGTATTCCCATCTCTTCCCAAGCATCTTGGTCCAAAGCTTGGATTTCTCCAGTGTGGGTGGTAAAGTCATCGCTGTTAATTTGTACTTTCCTTTCGGGAAATATGTTTTTTTGCAGGGTGTGGATGCTGGTCTTGGATATCACCCTCTCACAGCGCCGCAGCTTTACGCACCTCTGCAGCTTTCAGTCTTTTTAAATGTAGTGGCATGTCCAACGAATTGGTCGGAAATACTGAAGAAACTTGCCGAAATGGTGCCTGATACAGATGTATGTAAAATTACATACTAAAACACGTTGCAAGAGTGATGGAAGTAAATGTTCGCGATCGAAGTCTTCCCTTCCCTACCTCTCTAAAACAGCAAGTAACAATTTTTGCATATTAAACGAAATCAGGGGCAGAAAAGCCAGATTGATCTAGTACTTTTTGCTGCTAAAAAGTACAGTTGAGTAGGGAAGACGCGGAAACTACAAAAACCCTCCTGATTCTTAATTCCATGTTACAGAATTTCCCAGTTTGCTAAATCAGGATACCATAAATTTTTTTTATGAAAAATGAAACGCAGCACAATCGTAAAGTTAATTTAGGAAGCGAGAAAACAGCAAAATGGAGCTGGTGCTCAGAATTCGGTACCGCACAAGCCCGTCAACAACACAGACGATGATTTACATGATGAATGCATGTACAGACGATAAGAAAAATGCATAAAACATTTATTTTCAACAAGAACTTTCGCAGAAATATATTGTCCGAATTACAGCAAAAAAATCCCTTGATTTTATGAAGGCCGGAGTGCAGTAAAACCCTCCCTCGACTTCAGCTAATAACTGGCCGCGATAATTTGCTGGACCACTGTCAAATTTATCCTCGTTTTTATGTGAACTGATAGCACAAATTTTCTAGATAACAGCGAAATCCTTAGTGTTACGAGGAGAGTATTTCACCGTAGCCCGTAAAGTTTTTGCTTTGCAAAAATTGATCGCAGAAATCTTTCATGTTATGGTAAAATCATCCCTAGCCGGGCAGTAATTTTTTAACTCAACAAG